TGAATAATCCGGAAAATGGGATTTTTCGACTTTGAATGGGTACAACTTTGCGGATTCACCAGATTTCGCAACGAATTTTTCTGTGGTAGTGGAACCGTCATCAGCGAGTAAAATAAAAAAAAATTTTCGAAACCGGTGGGCAATGACAGAAGTTATTGAAAAAATATCGTAAACTTACAATTGTACAAAAAAGTTACGATTAGCTCATATATATATATATCCAAAAGAACAAAGACATGTGACATAAAAAAAAACTAGAAAGATAGTTAATGATGATGCAATCTATAGACCTAGAATAATAGTGATCACAACTGGACGAGAAAAAAATAGATGAATGAAATAAAATAGAGGAAATAGAAAAAAGAAAATAAAGAGATGAAAAGTAGACTACAGTCCGTATGATACTAAAAGATCACGCGTACACACATGTGGGAGGTAAGACACAAAAAATAGTAAACTAAATACTAAAGAAAACGAAAGGACTAGAGCATTAAGTGTACCCGATTTAACAAATATCAGAATATTAGAATACTAGAATTTTAATATTTCGAAGTATTAGAATTTTCACATAAAACATCCTGTTAGACATAGATGAAGTGAAACTGCACAATATTACATTTTAAGAACTCCAACTTTCACAATTCTATACTTCCGCATTTCAAGAATATTAGAATTTTAGAACTGTAAAATTCGAGAATATTAGACTTTCAGATTTTAAGAATCGTAGAAAGATGGAATTGCAGAAAGATCAAAGGGGGATTTCAAAAATCTATCAGTAGAGTGTTTAAAATTACCACTATCACTTGGTTCAACTCATTCAAAACCTCCATCTAATCAGGACTCTCGTCGACAATCTGGAATTTTTTCAAAACAATTCTCCACTCCATTATCTCCTATATCTGGTGATTTGCGTAACGAAGAATGTAAAACATCAACGGAACAACAATTCGAGGGTGAATATCAGGATCAACTGCAGCAACTAGTTCAGGCAATAGCAACAGCAAAAGAAATTGAGCGAGACCTGTTAGCAAAAATTCCAGATGTAGTAAATACGGTTGAGAGCGCCAGTCAGTGGCTTAAATTTATGGTGAATGCATATCCGTAGATACTAGACGCAAATAACAGTTCACTGTTAGAGTCAATCTAACATCCTGTGAATGACGCGGTATAACTTTGCACCCAATCCTCTGTGCGTCAAACACGATCGAACTGATACTCGCTACATCCTGAAAGTCACAAACGGCAAAACGACCTTACACCGAGGAAGTCACAATTGCGATGACCGATCAACCTTTTGGGGCATTTCTCACTGTTATGCTTTTTTATTGTGATCTTCCAGGTCAACTTAGCTACGAAGGGTGGATTTAAGTTTCATCTTCTAGCTAGAGACCTTCTTGCGTCTCTTGGCCTAGAAGGTCATGTTATCCTTGGTGATGCTCCTGAAAATGCTAATAAAACAGAAGGGATTGTGGCGCCTGATCCTGAGACACGGATGGCAATGTTTGGACATGTGTTTTCAAACGAATAGATATATGTATGTTAAGGTGTCTAGATACCACTCCAGAACGCTAACTCTATTTCATATAGCGTTTCTTGTCTCTACGTTCGTGCTCTATCTTGTTCTACATATTCTGTCCATGTTAGTCGTTGGTCATCATTGAGTGATCATAATCATCCATCCACTTTTCATTTTCGTTTAGTTTCTCTTTGTGTTAGTCGCTTATCTTTCATCCAGAGTTTCTCCCTTTGTATTTTTCAGTTTTCTTCTTATTCGTTTTGTTCGTTCTGTGTCATTGTTTTTCCATTGACCCTACTGTTCTTCCTTTCAATCCTTATCGAAATTCTTGGTTTTTCATTCTCGTTCATCCTTAGTGATTCTTGCGAATTTCATTTCTTCGAAGGGTGAGCAACACCATAATCTAGATTTCACCTCAGCGACGAAGTTTATCAGATGGCAAAATAAATTTTCAA